CAGGGCTAAGTGGGAGCAAGACCTTAATTTCACTTTTGAAGATGGTGATTGGGAAGAAATTTGTCTGGGAGCTCAAAATTTCTCTTATAATAGCCGCCACAAACTTTTACAGATTAATCTCATCCATAGAATTTATTTTACACCAGAAAGACTCCACAAAATTAACAGTACCGTCTCAGAACTGTGTCCTAGATTTAAGATAGAAACGGGAAGCCTCATCCATATGTTTTGGACTTACGAACTTGGGACAATATTGGGGCTATATTTTGGATGCACTAAACAAGATCACAGGAGATGAGATCCCTCACTCACCAAGATTGGTTTTGTTAGGAGACTCGTCGGCCCTGCCTATTAACAGGAGGAAAAATATACGCTTTATCAAACTAAAGTAAGCGATAGATTAGCTGGGGAGGGATGGGGAGGGTGATGACTGGCATGGGTTGGTTTGGGAGGGAGGGCTTTGACAATCTCTGTATTTTCCCTGTCACAAATACTGCGTAATGTCTATGTATCTGAAAAAAATCAATAAAGACATTGTTCAAAAAAAAAGAAAGCTATTGGTACCATCATCCACAAGGTGGAATTCCTTCTACGAGGCAGTTGCGAGAATCACCGAAATTCCAATGAATGAACTGAATTCCCTGTGTGAAAATTGGCATCAAGTGTCTAAACGAAAAGGAACACCAATTCCTGTGGGAATACTGCTCAGTTATGAAGCCACTGCCAACAGCATTGGACATCTTACAAGGAGATGACAATACTTATGGGAGTTTATTGCCAACACTGGAAGTCCTGAAGTCAAGGATTCTGGCTTTGAAAGACAGCCTCTCGAAAATGACTGCAGGTCTTCCCGATGTCATTGTGAAGGTATGTATGACTAATAGCCATAGGCTATAGGCCTATAGCCTACATCGTTTTGCTATTATAGGCCTATTTTATTCAGGGGGATTTGTTGCACAACATAGCTTAGGCCTATAGGCTATTGCAATACAGACCTACAAATTAAACCATTCAGTAGTCTTCTCAAAATAATAGTAGCATAATCAAATTATTAATCATCATCACAGCAACAGACAATTAAATGAAATAAAGAAGTTAATAAATGCAGTGCCGTAATGGAAACACGTGAGGCCCCCCCAGCTAACCCGAGTGAGGCCCCCCGACTCCCCCTTAGGAAAAACCCCCAAAAATAAACAGGATTGAAATATATGTTTGCTTTATTGTTCAGGCCATCAAGACTCGTTTTGCTGCAGTACTGGACAGCAAAGATGCACTTCTCGCTGCTGCCAGCTGTCCAAAGTTTAAACTTCGATGGCTCAGAGATGAGGCAAGGAGAGAGTATGTAAAGGAGCTTCTGACAACAGAATGCCCCAACACTGCTCCTGCTGCAGCCGACCAGGCTGAGTCTGCCGCTGTGTCAATGACGTCAGCCAGCCCCGCTGAAAATTACTTTTTTTGCTTTTGAGGCAGACAGCTACTCTGCAGAAAAGGAAGTTGCAGACTATTTAAGGTCAGGGTATGAGGTTGTGATATTGAACCAGTTCCCAAATGTCTGAAACATGTACATGAGGTACAACACTCCAACTCCATCTAGCACACCTGTAGAGCGGCTGTTTAGTTTAAAAGGTTTGGTGCTCACCCCTAGAAGGAACAGGCTGTCTGATTCAAGATCTGAGAAGCTTCTGCTAATGAGATTCAACCACTGTTTCACTTAAGATTCTGAACATTAGAACCTTGCTTAATGATATGCTTGTTTCACTAGCCTACATTTAGTCTGTACTGTTTGGGTTGATAGGCTACAGTATTTGTTTACTATAGTTCTCAAGATACTGAGGTTTAGGCTACTGTCTTGGTCTCTGCCAATGATATTTAGGCTATAAGATGCAAAGAAATCAATCAGATTTTCAAAGTTCAAGTTCATTAATTGAAGAAATTATTGTTGATTGGTAATTCTGTGAAATGCAGGCCTAACCGATAATCAGTTTTGTTGTTTTAATTAAATCCGTAGTAGGCACAGCCTACACACTTTTTTTTTCTTAAATGCAAACCAATGTTGAATCTTAATAGTCTATGTAAGTGCAGAGATGACAGATATATCTCCCTAAATGTGGTGTGCTATTCAGTATTTTTGTTAAAACCAGTCTAACCAGTTCTGTATGTCATATGTGACACAGAAATGAGCGTCCCCGCTAGATTTGGGAGACATATTTTCATTCTATGACTGCCTTCTTATAAATAAAATAATAAATGATAAATGATAAAAAAGCTAATATTGTGTGCATATTCATGAGTCTGACTAAACTACTAGGGGGTGGGGGGAGTAATATAGTAAAGTAACTGATTACTTTTATTACTCCTGAAAAAAGTAATAAAGTAACTAATTACTTTTTCTTAGTAACTTGTCCAACACTGCTGTTGGGATCCTGTGCTTGATTACATTGGTGTGTCCATTGTCCTCCTTGTGCCTGGAAAAGAAATATCCCCACTTCTGGGTTAACTGCTCCAGTTGAAGCTGTTGTTCTTCTGTCAGACCATCACCTTTAATGGAGGTGAAAGCCAGGTTCTCACTAGCTGCTTCGTTCAGCTCTCTGACAACATTAACAAGGTCTACTTACACAGCTCCTGGACTCACTTCTGTAAGAGAAATGTCTCTGTCATCTTTAATGTTCTCTGGGGAAACAGCACAAACATTAGCCACTCTCTGGAACCGTTTAAGGACCATGGGGAAGGGGTTGATGTTCCTCACTCTAATTGGGAATCTGCCCATCCTGACTGTCACCAGAGCCCTCACCACTTCAACTCCCTCCTCTCCTGCCAAGGGATCTACTAACGCATATTTTTGTCTACAGGAGTGGGGTGGAGTTTTTGCCCACAACAAAACCTCACTTAGGGCTGGAACAGTCACTGACTGTTTTTTGATAGTTCTCCTGATAAAAAAACTATCCCATCGATCTTTAAGACAGGAGTCTCTTGAATGGGGAGAATTTGGCCTGCATCTGTTATAAAGATCCTCCCAGCAGTCCGAAATCACATTCATCCCCAGTATTGCCTTTTTGTCCCTGATTAAATCGTCCTTGACTACCACTACACCGCTGGCTAAGACCTGGACCCCTCCGACCTGGATATCAGCAACTATGTAACCTGTATAAGGGATGCTTAGGCAATTACCTGCCCTGACCTTAAGCCAGGACAACACTCCACCATGTTCCTTACACTTAAAAGACTCTCACTGAAGAGAGTTACCTGAGAACCAGGATCAAGTAAGCACTGTACATCTACATCGTCTACTTTTACAGTCACTTAGGGGCAGGTTCCTGTTATTTTCACATCAGAATAGGAATAGGTCGGGTCATGTATGAGTGGTCCAGACACCTGACCCACGATGGCCGGAAGGACTAGGGACCTGGAGGGGCAGTTACGACTAAAATGTCCCGCTTCAGTGCAAGTATTACAAATTGGACGTCATTAAGAGTCAGATTTATATTTGGAGGGGCACCCTACAGCTCTGGCTCTGTTCCTGTCTCTGCTGAGATGATCTGAATGTTGTCTTGGACGGGGTAGTTGTGGGGAGTAAGTGTCATGTCTCTCATTGTTTCTCAGTTCTGATAAAATTGTCTTTGTCATCTCAGTCATTTGTTCCCTTACTTCCCTAAGAATTTCACACCTGAACTCTTGTTTCCAGTCTGTTACCGTGGGTTGTGGGGCAGGGTGTCTGCTTATTCACAGCCAAGCAGGTAGACGGCAGCCACTGTTCATCTTGTTCCTCTTCCTGGGCTAGTGCCTCCATTTTGACCTCTTCAGAGGATAGCCCAGGGGTCTTCCTTTCTTGGCGCTGGAGCTCTTCTTTCAGCCCTATGATGAACTGGTCCTGCAGCACATCGCCCTCCCCCAGGGCAGTGTCATCTCTCTGCTTTAACCTGGAAAACTGTTCTCGCAGACGGAGAGAAGGATCAGACTGCTGACGTTCTTGCCTACAGTTAAAAAATTGAGTGCGGAGGGTGGAGACATGGGTGTTATCTCCATACAATGCAAGCAGTACATAAAATATTTATATTTCTTTTTTTCCATTTCAAAATCAAAATCTCCCTCTTTGCCTCCCCCTCTAACAATTCCAACACAAAATCTGCCTTTTGAGAGTCACTGAGTGGCTGGAAGCACAACATAGTCTCAATCTGAAGCTTCCATTCTCCCAATTTTGCTTCTGAACCAACACCACTGAACTTTTGCATCCCTGGGCCCCCCATAATAAATGACTTTATCATTACTGACGGTCCTGTGGCTTGTGCTTCTCCCCCGTGCATGCTGAAACAGGCCAGTTACTATACCCAGGAACAATCCTGTCCAACAATGCCAAAATTTGTCACAGGTATGGTGTGTGACTTTAAAGTAAAATTTCAATAACTGCCACTGGGGAATATTACTGATCCAAATCCGCATGCAGACAACCACTGTTAATGTGAACCATAAAAATTGTCAAAACACAAGTTAAAAGCAGTAAAAAAAAAAAAAAAGGAGTCCAACTGAGTAATAGTCCTGGTCTTGGTCTCTGTGTTGAAAAGGGTCCATGCAGGGCCTAGCCCAGGTAAAAACAGTCCATCCCCAGCTTCATGCCGTAGCCCAAGCCAGTCCCTTGCTGTCCAGCAGCTTCTCCAACTGGTGAAATCAGAGGATGGTATAAATCAGCAGACTTATCAATCGCTCAGTGCACCAAGAGTTCATAATACAAGATGGAATGAAGCTATAAAAGCGAATAGAAGGAGCCAAAATAATTCCTTCTACACTGGACACCGGCGTCCGCGCTCCCTCCTTCCTCCTTGTTAAATGGTATCTCACAGGCGCACTACGTCATCAAACCATGTGATGTTTGGTATCACCGGATTCAGGAAGCTCTCGGCTTTTTTAATTTTTCATCGTTTTTCTTTTATTTCTTATGGATTTCGCACCAGAGCAGCCTAAACACACAAAGTCCAAAATCGCGATGAGTGGTGACAAGTCATGTCATGCCGTTTGTCGAGGGGAAAAGTTAAAGGATTACTCGCGATCTTATGCAGACCGGCGAGTGGGGACTTAGATCTTTTATAAAAGGTAAGAGTCTCACTCCTACCACTAGTTTGGGCTGAGATATACCGCCTAGAAAGTGGGATCATAACTTTCACGTTTCATATGGCTTTATTTGGTGATGTTTTATGGTTTTTCTGTGTCATAAACAACATCAGCTATCATAATCACGCCTGATTTCAATAAGGTACAATGTTTGAAGCTGGCTGAGTGTTGTTTGATCACCGATAGTACTGTTTTGAAGCGGAGTGAGCGCTCTTGTCATGTGGAGCTCCGCCTGGATCTTTTCATGGAAAAAACACTGTAGAATGGTCATACTTTGATTTTCTTCAAATTTGAAACAAATGTTCATTGATAGTGTGCCTACAGCCCCAAGGTGTCATTTACCTGCTCAGATGAAGGATGATATTCATCCCGAAAATCTTTTTTTTTTTTTTTTTTGTTTTTTTAAGCAAAATCTTCAACTTTTTACTGACTTCAGAGGCCCATTACTCTGTCTCTGTATCACCTAGAGTGTTTCTAACACTTTCACAAGAAACTCCAGAGAGTTTGCTTTCTGGCAAGACCTCATGCATGCATATAGTCAGAGCAGTTCAGAGGCTACAGTCATTTTAATTTGTGTATGTCATTTTAGGCGTTTTTGCTACAAAATGGGGGTGGAGTGCAAGAGGTTAAAAAGCAGGCTCTCACCCTATTCAGCTCATAGCTGCCTTAATTTTTGGTGTCCTTGGGTCACTGTATAAACCAGTGTGACAAAGCCGCCCCGCACATCACCCATCCCCAGAGGGGGATGATGTGACAGAGCAGCTCTTTCACTGACTGTGGGCAGTACACACACACACACACACACACACATGCACACACACACACACACACACACACACACACACACACATTTGCTCTCATTCATTTCCTAGTCCCTGCTCCCTTCCTGTCTTCACTTAGTCATTTAAAAAAAACAAACTCACAGTTATCCCTCTTTACCTCTGTTTCTGTAGCATGGCCAAGGGTGCAGTCTTGTAGTTCTACACAAATTAATATGCATACATTCACGCAGTCATTGTATCACTTACCATACGGAAGTATGTTACATATTCATCCGCTGCTGAACGTTGTCTGAGTTTGATTGGCGAAACAGGGGTGTAACATTTTGCTCTGTTAAATAGACAGTTCTCATTCCTTTTTATGATCATGTGACCTGCATTATTACGTTTCTTGTTTGTTAAGCTAACTTTTGTTGTAAATAACTAAATACTGAATATTTTGCTTTATGTATTTTTTGAGTTTAGAAAGCTGCAAATTGTGTTTTTGGTTAGACAATATGCTGATTGTGGGGTTTTTTATGTGAATAATATGCCTAGTGGGAGGGGCACATTAAGATGGTGTGTGTGTGGTCAGTTTGGAGTGGGAAATACATGACAAAAACGAAACGGACAGTTGTATGTGTACAAGACTAAAATACGGCGACTCTGCTGGCCACCAGTATGCACAGTAAATCAGTCCCTCCAGACAAACTTGATTATGCGGTCGCATAATTCAACACATAATCAGCCAAAGTCTGCATATTTATGCAGGGAGTGCATTTTTTCAAAGACGCCGCACTTTCGCCGCATAAATCGCGGGGCTTGCATGATTTCATAATCCCCGCATTTTCGTTGCAAAAAAAGTCACATATATCTTAGCAGAAAGTTGAAAAATGTTGCGTTTACTTCACACAAGAGCAGCCATTTTCCCCTGTTGCCTTGGGAACGTTATGAAGTGACGTAATTACACGACGTGAACGTCATCGAAAAGCTGCAAACCACGCAGGGGAGGAGATGGACCAGATGTTAAGGGAGAGGGGATAGAGGATGAGTGGATGATGAGTGGACGAATGACTGGCCAGTGTTAGAGGCTACGCAGTTACAGTTTTCATTTTCACAGTGGACTGTTGTAGGTTCATTCAGGAGTTGATGCAACTTTACAGTTGTAAGATTGCACTTTTTGTTACCAGTGGGTTAAATCATTCTAGTTTCAAAAACCTTACAGTTGTAAGTATATTAGTAGTATGTAAATTTACGTTACAGTAAGAGATTGCACTTTGTGCATTGGAAGCACTTATTTTAACAGAAGATGTCTGTTTTTTCGAGTTTGGGGGCCCCAACCAATTGCCTGGTTTGCCTGTCCTGTCGAGTAGCATCCAGCTGCAGCCCCGGAGCAGAAGCCCCTGATGTGACACAAGCCTCTGGCTTGCCAGAAGTGCCCCTGGCATGACAGAAGTGATGTAGAATACCGGAAGTTACGTTTTTTTGCACACAAGAATGGCGCAAGGCATCACGGGAGTGACATATGTTGTAGGCTATTTAAGCGAGCATTTATTGGTGCATTCGTATTTGCTGCTTAGTAGTGCTTCTGGTAGACATTTAAAGACATTTAAAAACAAGGTAAGCTTTGCTATGTCGATAATGTTGCATTTGTGTAGCCTATTTGTGTGAAATACATTCCAACCTCTGTTTATGGTTAAACGTTCCCAGTGTTGGCTAGCGAGTTTGCTAACGAGCTAGCTAGCATTCTGCTGATGTGACGCTAACGTTAGTTCACAGTAACAGATGGTTGTTTATTTGATAAATGTTTTTTGCAACCTGTGAGATGTGTATGGGTGCGGAGCCAGGGTTTTTCCTGCATTGAGATTTTTTTGTCAGCCACCAAAGGCTTATTGTAATTGGCAGCGCTAATGAAAACCCCGAGCACCACAATGATGAAAAGACAAGCCAGCCTCGGCGGATTTCACTTTAATCCTTGTACTATCTTATAAAAAATGCAACATTAAAGGTCTAAGAGCGCAAAAAAATACACAAAGACTGCCACAGAAATAGTATCTGTTAATGTATTTTTATATATATTTTTAATGGATACTATTATTAACTTCAGTCCTCACCATACATAGCAAATATTCATTCAGTTTTTGAATTTTAACCCCTTAAATGCCAGTTATTGTGATTTTTTTTTTTTTAAGGCAAACACAAAGTGGATTATTTTCCATCCCATAAAAGCAACATTTATTTTTTGTTTTGTTTTTGGTGCTATTGCCTGGGAGTGTCAAATTGGATATGAAAATTGATTTTGGAGCATTTTTTTGTGTTAATCAGAGTGTGCACAGGTGTTCTGCATACTGCTAATGATTAGCAGGACTGATTGACATGTTTTTTTTTTAACCTGCCTGTTCATTGTATCATGTGTGCTCTGATGAAGGTCTTGCAGACCTAAAGCTTGAAGTAAAGTGAACTTTTGCACAGATTTAAGTGTGCGGAAATGTTTTCTTTTGGCCATCCCATAAATGCAATTTCTTTTTTTTTTTTTTTTTTGTGGTGTGTGGGTTTTTTTTTTTTTTGTGGTGTGATTATCAGAGCCTGGGAGTGTCAAATTTGATATGAAAATTATTATTATTATTATTATTTTTTTAGCATTTTTATCTAGTGTCAGATTTTACACCCAAACCCTTTTTGTTCATATGGCTTTTTTCATATGGTATTTATTCAAGCATAATATATATATATTTTTTTAATCAAATGTCAGAAATATGTTAGAAATAACAGGAAAATGTGAGATTTCTGTGAAATAAGGTAACGTAGTACACTGAGTCCGATCATGCACTGCTGCACATAGTCACCAATAAAGCCACATTCTGTGCCAGGAAAAACCTTGAGCCTGTGTGATAAAATAGTGGTTGTGTATAACTGGTGCTTTGTTTTATTGTTCCATGGTTAGCATGGAAATGTTACATGGTTTGTTGTTTAATTTACACAATTCTCAATTAACAAAATTCTACCTCTCTTCCCTTCCCCTCCCCTCCAATACTCCCAACTTTACTATTCTGCACTGTAATCTATTCTACAGCAGGCTGTCCCACAAATCACCATACAGCCTAGGGGTGTCACACTAACACCAGAGAGATGCACCTTTGTGTTGCACTGCCCGTTGTGCAGGCCTCAGATCTTCAAACCAACAGTTTGGAGTAAGGTCCACAAACATCTCCAAGGCCATGCAAAGCATGCAGTGCAACACAAAGGTAACTGTTCTCTCAGTCATGGAGGATGTATAATATACCCCAAAATTAAAGCTTAGTATTTACACTTTAATTGTTATTGTATAATTTCAAATCCAAAAGGCAGAAAGCATTGGGTGGGGGGGGGGGGGGGCAAAATCTGTATCTGTCATTGACCACTAACATGTGTAGCTAACTGCAAATGCTGCATTTCTTTTTCAGATTACACAACATATATAAATGTAATTTGGAGTTTAAGCCCACTGCACACTTCCACTGTCCCTCCTGCAAACGATTATTAGAAAGAAGAGACCGTTTTGTAGACCATTTGGGACAGTGCGTCCAACAAGCTGTTGAAGAGGAGCAGGAGCAGCGGGAGGCCAAAGAGGAGTAGGGGGATGAGGAGCAGCAGCATCAGCAGGAGGCCAAAGGGGAGCAGCATCAGCAGGAGGCCAAAGGGGAGCAGCTTGATGAAGTGGTCTCTTTTCTATTTGGAATCCTTAAGGACACACCAGGAGCGAGACAACTTCTAGATCACGTTGCCTTTGTCTTTGACGTGCTTTTGCCTGAGGTAAAATGTCATTGTTCATCATTCAGATCCAGATTGGTAGAAACTGGTATATTGCCTTACCCTTATTGAGTTCTTTCATTCTGCTACAGACAGTTATCTACAGCCTGGTGGAGGTGCACTCCCTGTCAGGACAAAAAGCCACTGAGATGTACAAACAGGGCCCACAATATGAACCATGGTAAGATAAAGACAAGAGAGGTTTGACAATATTAAACATTGATGTTTTCATATATAATAAAGTGTTAAGTAATTTAATACACTATTTGTTTATTGACTCTATTTTCTTCCTTTTGACAGTGAGTGGGACCTGTTTCAAATTTGCCTCCAGAGAAATCTGAGCGCGGAGGCCACCAAAAGGCTTCAGGAGTTTAAACAAAAAATGAGAAAAGTCCTCCAATCAGAAACATTTATAAATCTATTGTAAATGTATGAAAAAAATAGGTGCCTGTTAAGGATATACAATAATGATGAGCAGTTTTGGTCTCAAATAGTTTTATTTTTCTTCTGCAGAGGGATCAGTTCTTACACAGCATGTAGATTTTTGTAAGAAATGACACATCTGACTGAGTGAGTGAGGGTTTTATAGTATAGACCAAACAATTGGTTCTCCTGGAAATTAATACCAAAACATGGTCATGCATAGGGAGCTTGTTTATGCCTCTGTTCTCAGATTTATTTATTTTTTTTTTTACCACTGAGCATGTTTGCTTCAGTAACTTTACCAAGGGTCAACATAAGTGGTTTTACAGAATGCAACAGTCATAATGCTTCTGAGCATAAAATTTCCATCTCATGCCCCAGTAGTTCACCTGGTAGAGTGCATACGACAAATTTAAAGCTGAGTCCTTACCACACTGGCCTGGCTTCCAATCCAACCTCAGGCTCTCTGCCGAATAAACCAGTAATGCCAAAAATAATCTTTTAAAAAAATATTAAAAGTATATTTTATTTAAACAGTGCATTTTATATTATCTTTTTTTTTTTTAATAGAAATGATATACGTGGGCATGGAGGTCCTTTTGTGACTTTTTTCCCTATAAATCTGGATTTTCATGAGAAATTAGTCTTAAATTTTCTGATTAGTCAATGTCTTGTGGGTAAAGTTATTTAACACAAAATTCCTTCATTTGATTCTCTGATGTGCAGTTCCCTTGAGGATCCTCTGGATCTTAAAAAAGTAGGCTAAACCTGATCTATGACCACACTTTTTTGTTATTGGTTATATCTATGTAATAAAAGGAAAACGTGTAGGCTATAATATCCATCTCTGTACACAGACTACAGGAACACAGGAAAGATTAAGCTGTTTGAAGTAATGGTAGCCTAAAGACCACATTGAAATTACTCATCAGTTTTACTATACGATTCATCATAATGGGAAGTAGTGTTTTTATTTTTTTTTAAAGGTCCAAAGACAAAACTAGTTTATGCTAAGTTAAAAGAATTAACGTTAATTGAAACGTTTTGGTTTTGGTAGTACATTCATATCATGGATTAAGCTTTTATATACATCTCCTCTCGCTCGTGTTCGTACTAACAATGACCACTCTGATTACTTCCCCCTCAAACGTGGCACACGGCAGGGTTGTCCACTCTCCCCATTACTATTCACCATCGCCATTGAACCACTAGCTGTGGCCCTCAGGTCCAGTCAGATGTTGGGTATCACAAGAGGTGGGGTTGAACATAAGCTGTCTTTATATGCCGATGACCTTTTGCTTTTCATCTCCGACCCAGACAGATCTGCCCCTCTAGTATTGAACTTGCTGAAAGAGTTTGGGCAAATTTCAGGCTATAAACTAAACTATCATAAAAGTGAGGTCATACCAGTCAACGTCGCAGCCGCAGTCTATCCCCTTTCTCAGTTACCTTTTAGGTTATCTCCTGAACACTTGAAATATCTGGGGATATGCATAACTAGGAACTATTCAGATTTGTTCAAATATAACATTTCTCCTCTGCAGGCTAGACTAACCCAGGATGTTCAGCGGTGGTCTCTCTTACCACTGTCTCTTGTTGGACGTATAAATTGCATCAAAATGAATGTATTGCCTAAATTTTTATACCTTTTTCAATGCATACCCATTTTCCTCCCTAAACAATTTTTCAAATCCCTCGATAGATTAATTTCTCAGTTTATTTGCAACAAAAAAAAAAAAAAAAAACAGGATAAAAATGGACACTTTGCAAAAGCCCAAGGAACTGGGTGGCCTAGCTCTCCCCAACTTTTTACTTTAATACTGGGCTGCGAACATAAGAACTATTCTACATTGTTGCTGTACTAATAAACAACCCCTGTCATGGCTGTAGATAGAGGAAGCCTCATGTGGTTCTTTTTCTTTTTCTTTTTCTTTTATGTCCCTCTTTTTTAACCTGGAAGGACAAAGGGATTGTGTCCATTAAGCATCTATACATTGACGGTACTTTTGCTTCCTTTGAACAGCTAGCCCATTTATTCAATCTACCGCCGACTCATTTTTTCAGACATCTTCAAATTAAAGATTTTGTTCGTAAGCATTTCTCCAGCTTCCCTATCATTCCTCCCTCCACTCTCACTGATACCATTCTCCAAATTAATCCCTACCTTAAAGGTACTATTTTGGTATTATATAACACTCTTCTCAAACATCAGCTCTCATCCTCCGATGCCTTACGGAGGACATAGTCGACAGATCTTAATATAGAGATAAAGCCTGCAATTTGGGATCAGGTTCTCAAAAGGGTTCGCTCATCTTCTATCTGCGCTCGACATGGAGTTTTACAGTGTAAAGTGGTTCACAGAGTCCACTGGTCTAAAAGTAAGCTATCCTGCATTTACCCTGATACTACACTGAACAAAAATATAAACGCAACACTTTTGTTTTTGCTCCCATTTTTCATGAGCTGAACTCAAAGATCTAAAACATTTTCTATACACACAAAAGACCATTTCTCACAAATATTGTTCACAAATCTGTCTAAATCTGTGTTAGTGAGCACTTCTCCTTTGCCGAGATAATCCATCCCACCTCACAGGTGTGGCATATCAAGATGTTGATTAGACAGCGTGAATATTGCACGGGTGTGCCTTAGGGTGGCCACAATAAAAGGCCACTCTGAAATGTGCAGTTTTGCTTTATTGGGGGGGGGGGTGACCACCATTTGCCTCACGCAGTGCAACACATCTCCTTCGCATAGAGTTGATCAGGTTGTTAATTGTGGCCTGTGGAATGTTGGTCCACTCCTCTTCAATGGCTGTGCAAAGTTTCTGGATATTGGCAGGAACTAGAACACGCTGTCGTATACGCCGATCCAGAGCATCCCAAACATGCTCAATGGGTGACATGTCCGGTGAGTATGCTGACCATGCAAGAACTGGGATGTTTTCAGCTTCCAGGCATTGTGTACAGATCCTTGCAACATGGGGCCTTGCATTATCATGCTGCAACATGAGGTGATGGTCGTGGATGAATGGCACAACAATGGGCCTCAGGATCTCGTCACGGTATCTCTGTGCATTCAAAATGGCATCAATAAAATGCACCTGTGTTCGTTGTCCATAACGTACGCCTGTCCATACCATAACCCCACCGCCACCATGGGCCACTCGATCCACATTGTTGACATCAGCAAACCGCTCACCCACACGACGCCACACACGCTGTCTGCCATCTGCCCTGAACAGTGAAAACCGGGATTCATCCGTGAAGAGAATACCTCTCCAACATGCCAGACGCCATCGAATGTGAGCATTTGTGAGCATCTGCGCTCTGCCACGTTTTTATGTTTTTTATGTCTACATCATGACTGTGTATGTGGGTGTGTGCGTGGGTGTGGATGGGTGGCTGGGTGGCTGTGTGTATGTGGGGGTGTGGGCGGGTGGGGGGTGGGTGGGAGGGACATCTTTTTAACCTTGTAAAGCACTTTGTGCTACATTTATGTATGAAATTGCTTTATAGATAAAGATTGATTGATTGATTAATTGATTGATTGATTGATTGATTTGCCCACTCAAGTCGGTTACGACGACGAACTGCAGTCAGGTCGAGATCCCAATGAGGACGACGAGCATGCAGATGAGCTTCCCTGAGACGGTTTCTGACAGTTTGTGCAGAAATTCTTTGGTTATGCAAACCGATTGTTGCAGTAGCTGGCCGGGTGGCTGGTCTCAGACAATCTTAGAGGTGAACATGCTGGATGTGGAGGTCCTGGGCTGGTGTGGTTACACATGGTCTGCGGTTGTGAGGCCGGTTGGATGTACTGCCAAATTGTCTGAAACGCCTTTGGAGACGGCTTATAGTAGAGAAATGAACATTCAATTCACGGGCAACAGCTCTGGTGGACATTCCTGCAGTCAGCGTGCCAACTGCACACTCCCTCAAAACTTGCGACATCTGTGGCATTGTGCTGTGTGATAAAACTGAACATTTCAGAGTGGCCTTTTATTGTGGCCAGCCTAAGGCACACCTGTGCAATAATCATGCTGTCTAATCAGCATCTTGATATGCCACACCTGTGAGGTGGGATGGATTATCTCGGCAAAGTAGAAGTGCTCACTAACACAGATTTAGACAGATTTGTGAACAATATTTAAGGGAAATAGTCTTTTGTGTGTATAGAAAATGTTTTAGATCTTTGAGTTCAGCTCATGAAAAATGGGAGCAAAAACAAAAGTGTTGCGTTTATATTTTTGTTCAGTGTAGTTGAAACTGTGATAAATGTCATCTAGGGCCAGCTGATCTTGGTCATATGTTTTGGGCCTGTTCCGCTGTTACTCAGTTCTGGAAAGGCGTTTCTGACTCTGTCTCACCCATCACAAATGCCAACATCGGCCCTTCACCTGTAGTTGCCCCGTTTGGTGTTCTACCAGCTGGCCTCTCCCTACCAGCTTACAGTATCTCACATAAATGAGTACGCCCCTCCCATTTTTGGAAATATTTTATTATATCTTTTCATGGGACAACACTATAGAAATGACACTTTGATATAACTTAAAGTAGTCAGTGTACAGCTTGTATAGTAATATAGATTTACCTCCCTCTGAAAATTACTCAAAACACAGCCATCAACATCTAAACAGCTGGCAACATAAGTGAGTACACCCTACAGTGAACATGTCCAAATTGTGCCTAAAGTGTCAATATTTTGTGTGCCAACCATTATTATCTAGCACTGCCTTAACCCTTTTGGGCA